TTTCTCCCAACTCTTTAAGGTCATTTAAGACTTTATAACTCATTTAAGACTACGTTTACAAGGTAACTCGCCAAAACCGCGCATTTTGACATAATTGTGTGTGTTTTCGTGCGTTGAAGCGCTACTGGTGAGCTGTCTGAAGCGGCTCAGAATACAGCCGAACGTGCAGCCTTTCAAACTATATTTCACTGCACCATTTCTGCGGCGTAACCCCAGGTATGTGTCGCCGCATTCTCAGGTTATGAAGAATAAAGAAGGGAAAAGTTAATCTTCAAAAATGAAGCAGAAAAATCTTCTCAGGTAAAAGTTATTAGAACCGTGTCTAGGGACAAGCTGGCCATCACACTGCTCTGACCTTATCAGTTTGTTTGGATCCTATTATTTGATTCGCTCTTGTCGCTTATGACAGAACAGCTAATCACGATGATCTGGTCTTCGGAAAAGATAATTTCATTCGCTTATGTCAGAAACAGCGAATCTCTTTAAAAACTGGCTGTTGTTTTTACTTCATTGCATTGTTATAATTCGTAAAAGTTGTACCCGCACCCCAGGTATGTGTCGCCGCATTCTCAGGTTATGAAGAATAAAGAAGGGAAAAGTTAATCTTCAAAAATGAAGCAGAAAAATCTTCTCAGGTAAAAGTTATTAGAACCGTGTCTAGGGACAAGCTGGCCATCACACTGCTCTGACCTTATCAGTTTGTTTGGATCCTATTATTTGATTCGCTCTTGTCGCTTATGACAGAACAGCTAATCACGATGATCTTGTCTTTGGAAAAGATCATTTTTATTTGCTTATATCAGAAACAGCGAATCTCTTTAAAAACTGGCTGCTGTTTTACCCGCCAACTGGTGACTGTTACATATACTCGCCAACGCTGATTTTTACTCGCATTTGGCGCTTGGCGAGTGTTAATTTTAGGCCCTGGTTACATATATGAAGTTTTGCCTGATGAAGGTCAGTGGACCGAAACGTTGCGTTTAATAAAGTTTAAGAATTAGCAAGTATTAATAGTGTGCGGGTTCGTTACTTATTTTTGATTCTACTTTTTGTTTGATTTTGTTCCCATGCACCTATCCTCGTTTCAGGTGTGCTGAGTTTACGTTGATTGAGTACATATATGAAGTTGAAATACAGAAATTTCTAAATTAAAATTGACATTAAAAAAACTAATCAGAAATATATATAAAAAGACAAACTTAATTTTTTTTAATATAAACAAATATTTATTATATATATATATATATGTCACGAATCCGATCCATGAATTTCCATCCACTTGCCATCAGAGGTCGCCCTTCCATGACATTGACTCTCGCACCACACAGACTCTTACACATCACCCTGGACTACATTTCCCATGTTCCATTGCACTGATTACACTCACACCTGAAACCAATTACACGCTCACCTGAATGCTATTACACACACTATATAACACCTACCCTGATCCTGCTCTAGTCGCCGAGTATTGTTCTGCATTTTTCACTCCCCAAGTGTTAGCTGCCTTACCGAGCCATTCCGTGTTTTCTGTTTTAGTCTCGTGTATTGTTTTGCGTTTATCCCTGTTTAGCGGATAGCTACCTTACCGAGCCTGTTTAAGTTTTCATAGTTTTCTTAGTCTAGTCTTAGTCTTGCCTTGTCTGTTTTCCTGGTCTCTGATTCACGCCACGTATCTTGGATTAACCCTTTGCTTGCTGTTTCTGACTCTGTTTGCCCCTGCCTGGACCTTTGCCTTCTACCTGGATTTATCTCTTGCCTTGCCTTCGATATACCTGTTTGCCATTGTCTGACCCATGCCTGTTAAAACCACGTCTCTTAATAAAAGCTTGCATATGGATCCGCATGTCTCTCATCTCATAACACGGTCAAAGCAATGCATAGGCCTATTTATTTATTTATTAATTAAGTTTTCATGCACTTTTATTTATATTTGTTTGTTTGTTTTTTGAAATGTTTATTTCAATATTACTACATTAATCACATTACATTTTGGTTAACAATGTTTTATGCATAGTATTAAATTGAATTGATTCATTAATGTTATTCTTACTTAATGTTACATTACACATATATAACCTTTTTTTGTATTAAGAACAAAGAATACACCTGGCTCAGAACAACCTGTATATTTTATAACTACTGGACAACACAAGAAAAAAATACAGTTAATTCTGTTTTGACTGGCTAAATAATAATAATAATAATAATAATAAAAGCGCTATACAAATAAACTTGAATTGAATTTAATTGAATTGAATATATAATAAAATAATTTATAAATATTTTCATGTTCCATTACATTTTAATGGGAATTTGTAAATTTATGGTCAGTTACTTAACTGTTGTTGTTGTTTCTGTATTTCACAGTCGTCTCATCACAGGACAATCTCCACATTAAACAACATGAACAGATGATCTGATGTTTAATTCATGCACAGAATATGTGTTCTTTGCTGCTGAACTGAATGAATATGTAACAAATGAATAGCGTGTGTTTGTGTTTTGATGCGTGTGACTGCTCTCTGTCAGTTTACACACAGACATGCATCACTCATTTGATGCTTTATTTTCAAAAGCCTCTGATGTGTAACGTCTGTTTCACACATACGCCGTCTGCGAGCTCGCTGTGCTTCACATGAGACACGTCTGCAGTGCGCAGCTAATACCACAAATACAACCTTCATCTAGATAGTATTTGACTTCAAATCCAAACACCATTAAAGTTAACAAATACACACCGCAGACGGAAATGTCAGTGTGGAAACATAGGCTGCGTTTAATAAATATTTCAGACTGTGAGTCTGTGTCTACTGTCTGTTAGGTATGGGATTATATAGGGTTAATAAAGAATTATTGATAAATAGCTTAAAATATATTTCTTATACATATTACACAATTCATATATTATATATAACGACATAAATAACTATTAATATTTTTTAGATGATATTATTTTTACGAATATTTTTCTTTTGAGTTTCATATGAGTTAATCTATTTATCTTTATATGTATTAATCATATTGAATATAAAATCTTTTCATTTTATTTGTTTGTGTGTGTGTGTGTGTGTGTATATATATATATATATATGTTTGTCATTTTAGTTTTTTCTTTTTTCTATTTATTTTTATTTCAGTTTAAAATTTTAGATCTTTTAGAATCTTTAGATCTTTTATAACTTTTTTATTTTATAATGATATAAATAATTGTAAATATTATTTTTCTGTATTACACATTATATTTAATAATTACTTTTATTATATTTTTAAAATATGTACACACACACACATATACATATATATATATATATATATATATATAAAATAACTATTGATATTTTTTATACAA